TCGGTTGGTTGACGGTTGTGTTATTCGGGCTGCATCCTCTGCGCGACATGAAAAGGGGAGAGGTGATGTTGGAGGGTGGCATAGGAGTTGGAGGAGAGGTGTGTGATAGCTAAGAGAATGTATAAATTGGCACGCATTGCACTGCAGCAAGGGGACTACAGTACCAGATTGTATATATTTGTGTGTCTTAATACCTCTCTAAGCTACCAACGACTCGACCAGCAGTGATCCGAGGTCTGCTTACATTCTACAAACGATGCATATTCAGATCCTGCGTGTATGCGCTGCTCCATCGCGTGCTGAGATTCGAAATCTTGTGTCGTTACCAGTAGTCACTGAGCATCAATGCTATCACCTTCCTCCTTTCCAACCCACGTTACGCAAGAACAGCCCACAGTTGCACCAGGTTCGCCGCAGGCATTTATTTTTACTTTTTCTCTCTCATTCTTCGCTCTCTCTGTCCTACAAGAGAGCGACGACGGTAGGTAGTGCAAGGTATGACGAACATGACAGACAGCCTAGCCCCCTTTCCCTTTTAAATCGAGTGTAACCCCTTTCCCATTCCACCGATCCTGGCACCAAGACATGAGTACAGGAGCGCCGAGTCTCCATGCAGCAAAATGCTAACGGTTCTACCCCCAAAAGTGTGTTTATCTAGATGATGGAAAACCCGGTACCGAATACACCGTACCGGTAGAGGTTGATCACAGTCCCCCTACCGGTGAGGCAACGCGCCGGCAGGCCAGACGGAGATTCCAAAGCTTGCAAGCCAAAATACTCTAGCCTCCGAGCTGAGACTACAACCACGGGTATCCCTCTAGAGCTCGCTGTCGCTGCCTCTGGCCGGGTAGTGTTGCCGCCAGGCCGTGTCCGCTTGGTGGAGGGTGGCCTCGGCGTCGCCAACCTGTTTGCGCTCGGTGATTTCCATCGGGGCCGGGTTCTTGAGACGCTTCCGCATGAGGTATCGAAGTGGCAGCGTCAATCCTTGGGGCGCTGCGCCTGGCGGAAACGCGCCACCCCTCATGACTGCTGATTCCTATTGCAGAGGTTCTGATGAACTCGAGAGACGGTTCAGGTGCAGATAGACGTCTGTCCCGTATCTGTGAGAGTGTCAGCAGCGATCGGGAACGTACAAGTTGGGGAAAATGAGGCTTACCCCTCCATGCTAATCAGCTTTAAATCACCACCGAAATACCTCGCGTACAACCGTGATATAGGCAAGCCGTAGCCAAAGCCCGCCATTGGCGCCTTAAAGTCGCTCTTGTCAAAGTCCGGGTCCAGATTGGGTGTCCGGTCGACCGTGGTGTACATGTAGGTCCACACGAGCGGGATGGCGCTGCGAGGGATGCCCCCGCCTTCGTCCGAAATCTTGATGGTAATGTCCTCCTTGCCCTCGGCCACGATCACCTTCGTGACGGGGAACTCTTGCTTGTCCTGGCCGTGCGTCTCGACGACGGCGCGCAGCGAGTTTTTGAGCGTCTCAAAGAGCATGTGCGACAGGTGCCCCGGCACGTACATGAAATTGAGGTTCGGATTGCACACGAGCTGGATCTTGGGCGCCTCGAACAGGCCGTAGTGGTCCTCGCAGACAAAGCGCGCGTTCTCGATGGCTTCTTGCGCCAGGTCTTTAACGTAAGTCTTTGTGCAGATGATGCCAACGTAAGATGGGTCTCGGTGGTGGCTCTGGTCAGTCAGGGCAATGTGCTGCCCGATGAGCATGCGTATGCCGATTCTCGACATGTAGAAGCGATCCAGGAAGGATTGAATGTTGTTATCAATCTGCATCCGTTGCCGCTTGCGTTTCCACTCGAGGATGCCTTGGGCCATGGTGGTCACGACGCTGTCGTGCCTCCTCTTGATGCGATGCAGCGTCTGCGCGAATTTCTGATTGTACAGCTGTAGCTCGGGTGGCCAGTCGCCAGTGTCATCCACCATTGCAAAGTATCTCCTTGTCGCAGGAAATTTGCCCTTGGCCCAGCCGTTGCTGTTGTTGTTGAATTGCTGCGTTATGCCGCTCCACGAGTTGTATTGTCCTTCCTCAATGCTCGGGTTCGGCGTCGCCTCGCTCAACCACGAGGCGCCTTTGCCCGCAGTTCTCGACGGTCTTAACAGCCGGTCCCGTACATCTTTGGGAAGCTCTGGCCTCGGCAGTGTGGTGATTTCCTGGATTTGGTTCCTGGTGAGTCATGCATGCACTGAGCCAGTAGCGGCTGCAACGGGAGACGCGTACCTCGAACGACTGCGCATACCAATCAGCCACCTTCTTCACCGAGGGCATCTCGTTGAGCCCGTCCGGCAGCGTCTCAAGCTCCTGGACACGGTGGGCCAGCCGAATGGGGAGCTCTTCTGCAAGGAACTGCGAGGCGCGGAACAGGGTGCCTGTGGCGGCGACGTCAGCGAATAAGCCGGACAAGGAGGGGATTGGCGGTCGCTGCGCACCCGTCGATGGCTTCTCGCCGAACTGGACCATCTGGCGCAAGCTCACGCCCGTGGCGGGGAAGCTTGCATAGTGCCTGATGGTGTCAAGCAGCTTCTCGCTCTTTTTCCACGACATGATGGCGGCTCAGGTTTCGCCAATTGGTCTCGGACAGCGGCGTTGCGACGGGATATTGTGCACCATGAGGACAGGTGAAGACGGTCAGAAGGCGCGGTGATGCGGCTGGGAGATCTGAGTCAAAGCCGGCAGCCGTGTTCTTGCGTGGGAGTTTTGGGGACGGGCTAGGGTGAGTTCGAGCCAAGCCAAGCCGAGGCAAGCGGATCCGGGGAAATCTCCAATGACGCAAGTGGGACACCGGGAGTTGACAGAACAGTGGGAAGCAATGGGAATTGCAGCTCAGTCAGCGTACCGCCAAGAGCGCCGGATCATCGACGTCCTCGTCAACATTTGAAATTCAGTTGTCTTTGGGGAGAAAGAGGTAGGGTGTGCAGAGGAGGTACAAGGGGGTTTGTTAGGGTGTTTGGTTCCTTAGGGGCGTCCGTCAGATGCTCGTGTGCTTTTTCTCCCGGGGTTTGCCGTTGGAGACTAGGGACTTGCACGGGAAACATGCGCAGTGATGAGTGGGGAGAGTCGACTTCTTGTCTGTTGAGTGTGATGACTCGACACAGTGAGCCCCGCCCGGCCGCCCTCGTTAGCTGCATCCATCATGGCCTTAGCCGGGCGGCCATTCAGCGCCCGTTCTGGCCCTAGGTCCTCCATGTTTCTCCACAGTACATACATTACACAGTACACTAAATTAGCAGCTTGTGGCTTCAGGTTCCTTTTTCCCGCCTCCATCTTCACAAGTTCATACGGTGATATGCATATGTTCTTGCAGAGTGCAGTGATTCAAGGCTCCTCGTTGAACCATGAGTGGGCTGTCATCGAATCACCTGTCTCCATAACTGAGTTGATTAACTACCGTCGTACAGCATTGTATGTACAGGCACTTGAGTGCATGCATAGCGGAATCGCGAGATCATGCCGAGCTATGGCCGCGCTCTCAGGCGTTCTCGGACGTTGAACACAACAACCTAACAAGGCCATCGGACGCCCACTGACCCTCGGGACTGCAATTTACGCCCTGCCTGTTTATTTGGGGAGCACAAAGCTCTCGCCTTGTGCCAGAGCTCAAAGGCGGACAAAAGCATAGATTAAGGCTCAGTGCCAAGCAATGGCGTCTCACTGTGGACTCTGGTTCGATCTTTGCCCGGCGAAATCTCATGCTGAAGCTAATGTGTGTTGTTGGAGAGGCTTGTTTACTAGACAATGGCTGAACTTCAGATCGAACATTCCAATCAAGTGTAACTAACTGTACGTGCCGGAATGTATGGTTACAGAGACCAGCTTCCGAAACGGCTCGGTTCTGGCCGGTAACGAAGTCAGTGCCGGCCGGGCCTACGGAGAAGCTCGACCAGGGGCGGTGAGACCCTTCAGTGGTTGCACACCGTCTCCACCCCGCCGTTGCTGGAGGCTGGACAGCGCACCCTGGCTCCCTGGCTCCCTGGCTTACCGGGACAACGAAGTAAAAGTGGGGCCCGACGAACTCGATGAAAGCTTTCATTGTGTTTCATCGCACCACGGACCATCTGGCCATTCAAGTTGAGTCTGAGAGACAGACGATTCGTGAAAAATATAGCAGCAGATCTGCAGCAAGACTTAGACTAGTTGAGCGGCAGACTAATTTAGCGATTTAACGCTGCGCAGTATGTATTGTACCAAACAAAGAAGGAACAGCCTGACCGTCGTTTCTAGTCACACGCCCCGACCCAACCCTCACCTAACGCAATTCACACCCTTTGGATTGGATTTGGATCTCACCATGTACGAACTGGACGACGACCCCCCAGGATCGGGGGGTGACTGGGACCATGTCTCTATTTCACCAACCATCTCGTCGCTTTCCTCCTTCTCACCAGAAGACGAGTACCACCACTCCTCCTTCCTCACGCAACCGACGCAGCAAACGCAGCCGCCATCCCAGTCTCACTCACCGCATGTCTCCATATCCATCCGCCCGCCTCCGCCCTCTTTCATCCCCAGGCTCAAACCACAATCACAGTCCCAATCCCCTACCAAAGGACAAACACAAGGACCGGGACAAAGCCATGGCTCCTCACAGACTGCAACAAACCCGTCCCCATCCCCCTCTCCTTCTCGCTCTCCGCTAGCTCACCGCCGAACCCAAACCGAGGCACCAAGCCTCACCACCCTAGATTACCAAAGCCCGAGTTCAAATCACAGACGGGCAAACAGCCTCCGCTCCCCTTCGCCGGCGCTCAGCCTCGCCCGCACCGTCTCCGTCTTGTCGTCCGTGGCCGCCTCCGCCTCCTCCTCCCGCGCCACCCCGACAAACCTGAGCGGTGTCGGTCTTGGCGTGCACCAGCACATGGGCATGGTCGGAGGGGCCACGCCTGGTCTTTCACCGCTGCATCCTCACCATCATCATCATCATCATCTCCAGAGGCAGCATCAGTACCTCCAGAGGCAGCCGCAACAGGAGGAGGAGGAGGAGGAGGAAGGGGAGCAGCAGGAGGAGCAGCCTTCGCCAGGCAGGTCTGAGGCGGGGGCGCATGCCGCAGAGGTCCCGGACCAGGGCCGGGCGTCGCCGTCGCCGTCGTCACCGTCGTCAGAAGGGTGGAATGCAAACCGTTTTGCCGAGTCTGTGACTGTGGTGGATGAGCGCAGGCGCTCGCCGGGCGGTGGGGCAAGTAGTGAGCTGGGGGGAAGTGTCGCCGGGGAGGATGCTGATGATGAGCGTGAGGTTGACCGGGATGGTGATGGAGATGGAGATGGCAGGAATAGGTTCAAGCCTGGGGTTAGGGCCGCGGTGGATACGGAGAGTGAGGGTGAGGGTGAGGGTGATGGTGTTGAGGGAGGAGGTGCCGACGGGGATGGGAACGGTGACGGTGATGGGAAGGAGGAGGGCGGTGGTCGGGATGAGGGTTGGGGTGCGAAGGATGCCGATGTGGACGCGCCCAGTGAGTGTGAGGCAGGGGATGTTCAAACGGGTGCATTTGCAGATGACGCTCAGCCTGATGACCCCTCACCCGACGACAGGCTCGAGCTTATGGAGCGGCTCTGTGGTCTGGTGGAAAGGCTCTCTGTTAGTAGGCTCGGGGGCGAGCTAGAGATGGAGCTCATTGACGTCTTGCATGCCAAGGTGGATGAGATGGAGGAGGTCTTATGGATGGCCGAGGACGTCAGCCGTGCAGAGGCTGCGGCGCAGGCGGAGGCGGAAGCGGAAGCGGAAGCGGAAATGGAGGTGGAAGCAGACGCAGACGCAGACGCAGACGCAAATCGGAATGCGGATGCAGATGCTGCATCAGCAACAGCAGAAGTGCAAGCACAAGCGGAAAAGGCACGGTCTGAGCCAGGATCAGAAAGCGAAGACAAGACCGCGGAAGGGACGCCAGCCATAGAGAGCGGAGAGTTGTCAGGCACGCTGCCACAGCTGTCCCTGCCACGGCGTACCGAGCAGTATGTTTTTGACTTGGGCACTACGCCCTCTTGGCTCGCGGCGCCGATGATGATGGCGTCGCAGCTGTCGATTTCGCCGACACGTTCACCCCCGGAGCTCGCAGCGGCAACGAACCAGGCGCTGGAAGCGGCCAAGCAGGCTGCCCAAGCCCAGGCCGAGGCCGCTGAGCGCGTGGCGGTGGAAGCCCAGAAGGTCAGTTCCAAGCTGGAGAAGGTGGTCAAGAGTCTTGTGGCTAGAAAGGAAGAGTCGGATGTGAGTACATTTTCTCGCCCCATACCGGCCTGCATGTCTAACCGAACCAGCACCTTCACTCAATGCTTGTCGAGCGAGCCGAAGCGGCCGCATCCCGGATCCTTGATCTCGAAAAGGAGGTGACCGATTTGTATGTGCCCGATATTCCTTTCCATTCCAGTTTACGAGATTGACTTGTTGAAAAGAGAAGATGATATCCTCGCCAACGAATCCGAGCTGCGGCACCTCCGGCTCGAGATCCGCGCCATCGAGACGCTCTGCCACGAATTCGTCCCGATCGAGGCCGACCCGGTGCTGTTTGAGAGCATCGAGAACTGGAAGGCCGACTGGGTCCTGGTCAGGGACCGGATGCTGGAGCGCAAGAAGGGGCGCAAGGACCGGCGGCTGCGGCTGCATCGCGCGGGATCCTTGCTCGATGCCAATGCAGTGGCAGACGACGGCGGGGACGGTGAGTCGACGCTTACGAGCTTGGGGGGCTTGTCCATGTCTGTTTCGATGTTTGGGATCAAGAGTTCTCCGCGAAAGGGATGAGTGATGATGAGTTGATGAAATGAGGATGTGATCGGGCGATGAAGGAGAGGCAGAACTCGCCATTCTCATTTTGTTTTGCTTTTTGGGTCCGGTTCATTGAATGCATCGGTCACATCTGGTAGCATTGACGATACCCAGGAGTACATACACACAGCACGGCTGGCATTGCATGGCACGGCAGAGCATAGCATTTCCACGGCAAGGCATAGCATAGCAAAGCAGGTCTCGGGGCTACAGTTGTCATTGGAGTCCTGCTCTCGATGTTAGCAATTAGAAAGGGGCGTCATGGATGGATGTGGGCAGGGCAGATGCGGATGGCAATTCAGCGGGACTGATGGGAAATCTGGGGTATCATGCGTCTGTTAATAGTTGATGGTTCAGAAAACACACTGGATGTATACCCCATCCTGATATGATACAGCTAAGTACCTTACACAGATTAGCCCCCTGGGGTCTTGGAAGAACTGCAGATGTGGTCCGGCAAACGACTGGCTCCAGGTGTTCTTCTGCTCTCAAGACATATTGTGTAAAGCCTAAGCGCTTCCCGGACTTATACAAATCATTGATCATTGGACATGTAGGCTTCCAACGGCTTATGGGTTGCATCTCTCCGGGAGCCACAAAAGCTTGAATCCCTTCGGTGCTCTTGGCTAAATCCACCCACCAACAACCCGGCGCAGCGGTGATCGACGTCATCAACGTAGAAACATCGGTCATCTGCCAATTACCGGTACCGGTATCCCCATTTCTCCACCGCTACACAGCATGAGCATGGTGTACAGAATGTCAATACAGCAACGCAGCAGTGCAGATCTTGATCCTGCGGAGGCAAACATCACTTAACAGGCGGCAGAACCGTGCAGGACTGTTATTCTTTTAACAGCCAGGCGTTGCTGCAGAGTAACTCGAGTCCCTTAGTGCCGGCACTCGTGGCGGGGAATGACGTCGAAGGATTACACTAAACCGAGCCCGCAGTCGGGTGTCCACCGGCCCACGGGGAAGGAACCCCTGAGCCGTCCGTGGGTGTTTCTCCCAATCCCCACCGCAAACCATCTGTTGAAGTTGCCAGTGGTCTGGGGCCTCGAGGGCAAATTCTGTTCGCTCAGGTGAATGACGGGATGGCAGATCCATCCCTGATTGGAAGGTGAAGCTGCAGGGCCGTGGAGACGGATCATTAAATATATGTAAGTCACTGGCCGCCGGTCCGAGCAAATGAATACTCTGATCCTGGTCTTCTCCTTCCAACTCCCACCGTTTCCGAGGTAGTAGATCGTAGGCCAACCATGGACCACACAGACCCGGAGAAGAAGAGGGAGCGGTCCAGCTCATCCGGATCGCGTCCAGACTATGCCCACCATGACCGCGCCGGCAGTCCAGAACATCAAGATGTCGCCAGGCAACGTCTGGGAGTCTCGCAGAAACTCGCCAATCCCTTAGAGGGCCTGAGCCCTGAGCGTCTGGCCGCCATGGGGGAGGAGTATGCTCGCCTGGCCGGCCTGACCAGCGACGAAGACCTGCGCGCTTTCCGCCTCGGAGCCATGATCGCCGGAGACCAAAAGAACCGATACGACACCATACCCGATCTTACAGACCGCGAGAGGGAAGTGCTGGAACGCGAGACAACCCACAAGTGGTCGAACCCGCGTATGCTATACTGGGTTATTGCGAGTAGGTGACTACTTATCGACTTGATGCTTGAGATGATATGGCTGCAGATCCCTGACTTACAAGCACACAGTCTGCTCCCTATGCGCCGCCGTTCAGGGCATGGACGAGACCGTAGTCAACGGCGCCCAGATCTTCTACAAAGTCCACTTTGGCATCGGCTCGACCAGCCAAAGGGACACCTGGCTCGTCGGTCTTGTCAACGGCGCCCCCTACCTGTGCTGCGCCGTGGTCGGCTGCTGGATCACCGACCCCATGAACAGGTACTTTGGCCGTAGAGGGACCGTGTTCATCTCGTGCCTCATCAGTGCCTTGGCCTGCTTCTGGCAAGCCTTCACCAACAACTGGTACCACATGTTCATCGCTCGCTTCTTCCTTGGCTTCGGCATCGGCCCCAAGTCTGCGACTACGCCCATCTTTGCCGCCGAGTGTTCCCCTCCCAGGCTCCGCGGCGCACTTGTCATGGTAAGCCATAGGCAGAATCCCACTGGACCCATTACCCCCTTGTTCGATCAACTCACCTGACAATTTCAACAGCAATGGCAAGTGTGGACCGCCTTCGGCATCATGCTCGGATACGTGGCCGACCTAGCCTTCTACCCCGTTCCCGACAGGGGCATCGCGCTGGGGCTCAACTGGCGGCTGATGATGGGCTCCGCCATGATCCCCGCCGTGGTGGTGTGCGCGCTGGCCTACGTCTGCCCGGAGTCTCCCCGGTGGTACCTAACCAAGAACCGGCACCGCGACGCCTTCGCCTCAGTCTGCCAGCTGCGCTACGAAAAAGTGCAGGCCGCCCGCGACCTCTTTTACACCCACACCCTACTACAAGCCGAGAAGGAAGCCATGTCCATGGGCAGCAGCACAAACCGGCTCAAGGAGCTCTTCACCATCCGGCGCAACCGCAACGCGCTCGTCGCCTCGGAAATCGTCATGTTCCTCCAGCAGTTCTGCGGCGTCAACATCATCGCCTACTTCTCCTCCGAAATCTTCCGCACCGCGGGCTACTCCGAGGTGTCGGCGCTGGCCGCCTCCCTCGGCTTCGGCGTCATCAACTTCCTCTTCGCCCTTCCCGCCTTCTACACCATCGACACCTTTGGCCGGCGGAACTTGCTGCTGACCACCTTCCCGCTCATGGCCATCTTCATGCTCTTCACCGGTTTCAGCTTCTGGATCCCTGAAAGCTCCCCCGCCCATATCGGCTGTATTGCCTTGGGCATCTACCTCTTTGGCATGGTCTACTCCCCCGGCGAAGGGCCCGTGCCGTTCACCTACTCGGCCGAGGCCTACCCGCTGTACATCCGCCCCATTGGCATGTCCCTCGCCACGGCGACGACATGGTTCTTCAATTTCATCCTGGCCGTTACCTGGCCCAGCATGTTGACTGCGTTCCGTCCGCAGGGCGGGTTTGGGTGGTACGCGGCGTGGAATGTGATCGGGTTTTTCCTGGTGCTGCTTTTTGTGCCTGAGACCAAGGAGAAAACGCTTGAGGAGCTTGACGGCGTCTTTGACGTCCCCCTGCGCAACCATGCGGCGTATGGGATGAAGCAGGTTGGGTATTTCTGGCAGAGGTACGTGTTTAGGAGAAGGGATGCGGTCAAGCCCGTCGTGCCTGTCTCGGGCGGGATGGAGTGGAGGGAGAAGGAGGTTGTGAGGGACAAGGTTGGGGATAGAGACGGTAGTGGGAGGGTGTGATGAGTCGAAAATAAAAAAGAATGGTTCGTGAGGTCAGAGCTAGGGGGGTTCATACATACAGTGCTGGAATTTTGATAGGTTTGTCACAACAGAGTCAACAGCGGAATGATGGATGATGATGACTTTGCCAAGTCTTTTGTATTTCTTGCCCCTGAATCCTCCTGGTGCTTGTCTCATGCCGTCATGTCCTGCAGCGGGGAGGTACCATGCCAGAATCGCTGCCTACTGGTTGACAAGATCCCTAGGGTTCCTAAGGGAGGATGCTGTGTGCAGTAAGTTCCCAACAGTGGTTGGGTAACCCACGCGGTTTCAGATGGGGTGCCCCCTTAGATGCTTCTACCTGTGAAACAAGCCTTCAACTAAGTCAATCGCCGCAACCGGAAAGTGAGACGGCGAGATTGGCTGAAGCATACTGCTGCAGTTCTACTTCTTCGGGCCTCCCAAGTCTCACTAGACACCCAACGGATCGCAGAAATCACAACAGCGGAGCAAGCAAACAGGCGGTACAGTTCCAGACTCGATCGATACTAGCATACAACCAACCAATTGTAACGCC